CTTTCCCTAATGTTGTAGTTTTTGTACCTAAATTGAACCATTTTTTTTTTATTTTGCTGCCAGAAAGACATTGCTATGTCACAGTTTTTAATCCAGAAAAAAACTGCAATGTCACAATTTTGGAGACGTAATTGTGTGACTAGTATGTTTTGTGTTGAGGACCAATGTACAAACAGCTATTATACATAGTACAGTGAGACTGGGTTATAAAAATTGTACACTGTTAAATTCTTCACATTTGCAAATGTTACTACTGACATTGCTCCAGTATAAATTAACCATGAATGAATTTCTATCACCCCAATTTATCAAGACATAGTTAGATATTGAAACAACCAATAGGAGCCAGGAAGATTGTACATTTTATCAACATTATGTTCTTTTCTCATTTTAAATGTTTACTTCTTTCTCCATAGTTTTTTTTACTGGAACTTCCAGGGCCAGTGAGCCACACTGGTTTTACCTGCCCTCCCAGTAAAGTCAGTACAGAAAATCTTCCCAACTCTGCCAACTTTTCATAGTTCAACAAGAGGAGCTTATGTGCTTAGAACTCCTAGTACATCATGCCAGAATTTAATGTGGCATGTCTTTGTCTATTGTGATGCAGTCTGTTGTTTCACTTTTCATTTCACTATTGGTTGTTGTTGAGATGAGCTTCTTAAGATAAAAATTTGGTTTAAACAAATCTGCCATAAGATAAAGTTAAAATTCTGCATCCTAACTGCTAAACTACACTCTTCGTGACCACCAAGTTGTTATTGGTTGTGTGCTAATAAAATGTGATTGATATTTTTTTTTGTACTTTCAAGTTTCAAGGCAATCACTAAGCTCTCACAGAGGGTAAGCAAAGACACCAAGACAGGGTGGTGCAAATGGTCATGTCCGTCAGCACTCCTTCATCTGTCCCATCACTTCAGACAGCTGACACATTGTTATTTTAAGTGTTTGCTCACTGTTCATGTTACACATTGTTTCTTTGTAGGACTTTTCCAGTAAGCCACAGTTAGATGTGTATCATACTGATACACATCTAGAACACCCACTTCAAATATTTTGCTCCATTTACCACCAGGGACTTGTCTTGGCTTCACTAAGATTGTAACTTAATGAAATGATCTAATGAATAAAAAAGATGCTGGGTGACTTTGAATAAGGTAGAAATAGACTGAAACTGTCTCTTCATTGCCCTCCACAGCGGAGGATCCCCAAATCAAACATTGCTTAGGGCCCCATTAAGACTTGGGCCGGCCCTGACTGTTAAAATGCAATACACATGCATGTAATAATACAATATAAATATATATAGAAGTTAAGGTACACAAACCTGAGATGTAAAGGCATAGTCCAAAGCAGGTCAAAGGTGTTTGGGATTTATTTTTTACATGACAAATATTGTCTGTATATGCGACAGTGAGAAAGTCACTTTTGGCTTTTCCCGTTTAGGGGTCACCACAGTGAATCGTCACACTGACGACTCATATGTTGACATTTGGCACGTGTTTTATGCCGGATGCCCGGCCTGACACAACCCTGATTCGAACCCGGGCCACAGCAACGAGAGCGCTGCGCCTTAACCACTAGCCTACCAGGGACAGCTGTATGTGACAGTACATATTCAAAAATGGCTTTAGTGGAATGACATCTATGTCTTCTCAGCACGTTTGAATACATTTTAAATTGCTTCATTTTATATAAACCTGCCTAGTTATGAAAGTGAATAGGTACATTTATATTCACTTCATGGTTAAATATATTTAGTGTAATTCTAAGTAATGTGCATTCAGGAAGGACATTTGCATAGTTAAGTATTTTTAAATGGTCAGAGTAAGGGATAATTTATCAGTGGTGGATGTACCACCACATAACTGCTCTGTTTACTTATAACATGAACAATGTGCATGTTCAAAAATTTATGAAGTAGGTCAACAAATTTTTAATCAGTTTTTGCTTTAAAAGAGTGAAGTAATTGCAGCTAGAAACAAGACCACTGAAGAGAACATCCTTGCACCTGTAAAGACAATGGCAGTGCCTTTTAAACCCACTCTGAGCATGCTATTAACAACTCCACTGACCTGCTAAACTTTGTGGTCATGTTCTGCTAATGATCAAATTTAAAATGGGCATTGTTTCTGAAAGGTTTTTTTTAATGAATTTTTATCCAGTGTTAGGAGTATCGCAAAAATCTATTTACAGAACATTAGCAAATAACACAAAAACTACAGTATGTAGATACAACTAAAGGTAAACGAGAAACTATGTTCTGTTGCAGTCTAAGCAAACCCACCCTTTGAATAGTATCTGAGATGTACTAATAACTAACAAATTGAAAACAGAGCCGCCTTGGGAGAGATAAGATTTTGCAAGATTTTATAAGGAAATAATTTTCTTCTTGGGGAAGCCATATCTTAGTCTTATTTTTATGGCAGCAGAAATTTGTTAATGCTTCTCTACAAGAGACCTATGTCATTTGATATTAAATGTTAATAAATACCCCTTTGTATTAGTACACTGACACTAATACTCAAGGCTTTGGTAGAATATTATACTTCCTTATTGTTTCTGTCAATTGGTCTGTAAGTCTTAATTATTCTCTGTGTGCAGTGGAATGTTTGGTTCACTCGAACCAGTTTATGGAACTCTGCCAACTTGTAGTGTATAAAACCTTGTGGCTACCCTGCAGCCTCACACTTCGCAACCAAAGAAGCATGCAAGCAGGTAATTAATTTATTGAAACATTATCTCCAAAGTGCTGTTCTGCTAAATGATAAAAACTGATGCTTATTTCCAATTGAATTTCAATTTTATTTCTCTTATAAAGGATTTCTTGCATTGCAACATATAGCTATTTCTATTGATGTTTCCTTTTTATCAGAAATGATCATACTGTACAATACTGGACATATATTTCAGTATTGTGTACTACACTGTAAATGGAATTTGCTACAAAATAATAAGTGGGCCTAACTCAGTTTTTTTCAAGCCTTTTATCATCGCTCATTTTAAATATGGTACTAGTACTTTGGGGTCAGAAAAGCTGACTTTTGACTTTTAGTAACAGAAAAAATAAGTTGGGGAAATTGTGCCTTTTCAGGGGTGGGATAACATTATCCTACACTAGCAACTTCCCAGCATGCTTTGTTTTAGAGTTAACAATCTCCAGGCACTTTTTTTTTATTTTGAAGAGCCCATTCATGGTGGAAACCTTCTGTGTGTCTATAATACATATCTAATTATATAATGGTTGTTTCTTTTTATAATTACGAAAGCAATGCAAACCATGATAAACATTAGTCTTAAATTCAGTCCCTATCCCTACCATCATACACTTATAAATATAAATAAAACTGAGATGATTACCTTGAAAAAAAAACATAAGCAAGCAATCTGTTGTGTATATATATATACACACACACACACACACACTAGAGGCTGCTTGTATGTTGCAAGTTCTTGTGAGATGAGGAATTGACTGCGCAAACTAAAATGCATTGAATAGAAATAGGCCTGTCTGCTAATTATGATTATCAAGTTCTTCTAACACCATTTTTTTTGGCTTTTAAAAAGTAAAGGCAACTTGATAAATTTATAGTGTATTGAAATATAGTAAGTGCACACAATTTTAAATAGGTATAGCTTATTCAATTTATATTCATTATAAATATCATTTCACACGACAGATTGTTTGCTTATTCTTTTTTCAAGGTAATCATCTCAGTTTTTAAAAAACTGAAATGAGTTAGAATTTATGAACAACTCATATTGATCAATGTTCATTTAATTCTCTGAATTTCTTTTGCTATTATAAGCATATAACAAATTTACAAGACTGCATCCTTGGTGATGCTCTGAGATTTTTTTTTCTGGAATTTAATTGATTATATTTGGTCAGCAGGTTTGAATTTTGAGCTTTGAGGAATGGCAGGTCAAATCATGTTGCCTGTGCTACTTTTGGGAGCGATAAGTACGTATTTAATTAAATCAAATTTAATTAAACTCAAATTTTTGTGCATAAATGTATGAACTGATGTTTGATATTGATGTTAATCTCATATTGTTGTCCAGTTATATTTATGCTTTTGTTTTCATAGGTTTGGTGACTTCACAGACACGTAAGCTGAAGCTTTGAGAACGTCTTAGATTTGTTCACACTTGTCACATTCCAGTCATACAACAATGTAAAAATCAGTAACTCAGTGATGTTATTAGACCAAGTTTTTACCTATTATGACTAGATTATGACTAACACCACTGTATGATTGTTTGTTAGCAGGATCTCATAGCTTTGAATTAATTTCTTATTAAAAGATAAAAATATGTCTACATTGCATAGGATTTGACATACATTAATCATATTTAGAAAAATTGTGATGTTTAGATATGTATTGACAGCACACCAGTCATAGTATTGTATATGAATTCTTTTATAGAACACCTGTACAATTTAAATGCCAGTATTTAGTGCCCCTTAAGAAACAAGATTACTTTTACATAACAACAAAAGTTAAGGGTGTGGAGGTTGGGAGACACCACACCTTGACACCAAAGGGAAGGGTGTCAGGATTGGCGCGTGACGCTGCCGAAAATGTTGTGGTGAACTCGATTAAAGTGCCAGACGAGGATAGTGAAAAACACTCTCTTTAATGAGAGCTCAGGCACTGAACAAAAAAACTGATATAAGACACAGTGTAACACAAAACGCACATACAGATCGGTAAAGCAGTCCAAGATCAGAGCCAGCAAACACATACAGCAAAGGAATCCGAAAAGCGTTGCCCAACGGGAAGTCTTATAAATCATACACAGTAGGCAGTCCGAAGTTTGAAGGGGCAGGCAATATACAGTGGTCGACAACAGAAATCCAGGGTAAGATACTAAAACGGAGGGCAGGAATAAATGCTGAAAAGTCAGAGCTGGAGTCTAGAACAATCTGGCAGCGTCCTGGTGGGAGAACGCTGCCTAAATAGAGGTGAAATCAGGTGCAAACAATAAGGAGCAGGTGAAACTAATGTGAGTGATGATTAAAGTAAAAAGACCGAAACTGTGGTGAAACAAAAACAGGAAGTAATGTCAAAATAAAAGCACGACAGGAAGCAACCGAACCGAATCATGACAAAGGGTTCACATTGCTGTAAACCAGACAGTTGGATGTTGATTGTTTTACACTTAAAGAATAACTTAATATCAGGCTTAAAGACAGTGTTTTACTGTCCCTACTGGTTGCATCTGGGATGTGGTCTGAAATGGATACTCCTGCACCTGTAACCACACCCAAAATGTGATGTCACCATGTACTTAGTTTTTTATTTGTGTTTTTTTTTTAGATTCATCATACTATCCTGGACCCCTCTATCCTATTGCTGGAACAACAAGCCCTCGAACAGACGATGGAAGTTCACCTCTAATTCCTCTGCAAAGAACTTTTGTTTACTTTGGACGGCCATATAATCAAATTTATGTACGTAAAAACTGTTTTAGCAAACTACAACATCCATGTGTATGAAGGGCTTTGAAGAATGTAACATCCATGTGTATGAAGGGCTTTGAAAAATGCTGGTATGTTTTGTGGAGGACTCACATTTTCATCCACTGATTAGCAAAACAAAGCAGAATGGTAAATTTATAACATTTATTAGAAATGCAGAATGCAAAACTTTATGAAACAAAAATTTCAACTAAAACTTTTATTATATTAAAGATGGTCAATAACATGACCGTCAATGACTAGTCAATATCTACTAATTGTTTGTTAGTAAGAACTGGTCTATCTGTTTCCAGGTGAACAACAATGGCCATCTGACCTTTGATAACCCATGGTATAGTTACACACCACAAATGTTTCCACTATATGGCTCCAGCGACATCATTGTTCCATTCTGGACAGATTTAGATAACAGACAAACTGGTGCGATCTATTACAACCAATATACCAGTGGCAGCGTCCTGCAACAAGCAACGCAGGATATTCATGCCTACTTCCCAGGACTGAGCTTTAATGCTGAATGGGTCTTTGTTGCAACATGGTATGAGGTGGCCTACTTTCCAACCACTGGAACAGTAAGTCATCCTGTTCTTATTGGGGGAAACATATTATATATGTTGTATCTGTGCTACTTATTTCTATCTTCATTGTAAAAAACATGAGACAATTTCTTTCAGCAAACAACGTTCCAAGCAGTCTTGATCTCTGGTGGCCGGTATTCCTTTGTGCTGCTGAACTACGGGATAATAGCCTCAACCAATCGCAATGTGCAGGTTAGAGCCTTAAAAAACAAAACAAACAAACATGTTTTTAATTTGCCATCACTTACATGTATCCTAAAATATTAATCTAGTAATGGCAAAGCATGGCCTAAATAGAAATTCTTTTAAACTATGTGACATATGTTTCCAGGCTGGATATGACACAATCAGTTCCTCTCACCATTTCACCATCCCCGGATCGTTCACTAGCAATGCAACAGGGAGTAACTCAGTTTTCAGTCTGGGCAGCAACGTCAATGTGCCCGGTCGCTGGGCCTTCAGGATAGATGATGGCTCAACAGGCTGCACTTTCAATGGTAAGACCAGAACCAGACGGTGATCACCATAGGGACATCTTTACACTCAACAAAATACGAGTTCAGGGTGGCTGGAGACCTTTCTTCCATGTAATCCTCTTTTCTTTCTATGTTTTTTCAAAGGTGATCCTGTGCAGCTGGGTTACTCATTCTGGACTGACAGTACCTGTGCACAGAAGTGCACCTGCACCTCAAGAGGCCTGCAGTGTGTCAGCGAGCCCTGCTCCTTTTCCCAAATTTGCCAGCAAAGTTCCTTTCAGTTCTCCTGCCAGACAGTGCAGAGAGGCATCTGCACCATAAGTGGAGATCCACATTACTATACCTTCGATAATACACTGTTTCATTTCCAGGGCACCTGCACTTATGTTCTCTCTGAGCAATGTGGTCTTGGGTTGCCCTACTACAGAGTAGAGGGTACAAACGAGCACCGTGGCAGCACTTATGTTGCCTGGACACGACTGGTCAAAGTTTATGTCTATAATGAAACTATTGAGCTTGTTAAGGGACACCCTGGTGAGGCTAAGGTCAGTAAGTAGGTTTGTAAAGATCAAGTTTTGCTTAAGCTTATATACTTTCAGCTTTTTGTTAATTATGAATTTTCTTAATTTTATACAGCTATGTCTTTGCCTGCTTGTTCTACTTACAGGTTAATGGAATCTTTGCAGCCACTCCATTCTACCTCAACAATGGCACTGTCCATGTTTATGAGTCAGGATTTTCTGTGACTGTCAGTTCTAACTTTGGCTTGGAGGTATCCTATGATGCCTACCATTATGTCAGGATCAGTGTGCCCTACACTTACCAGAACGCAACATGTGGCCTGTGTGGATACTTCAACATTGATCCCAGGGATGACTTCCGGACCCGTCAAGGCGAGGTTGTGAGCTCTGATGTGGTGTTTGCCAACAGCTGGCAAGTATCAGAGGACAACGAACCAGCCTGTAACATCCGATGTGCAGGTTTGGGCTGTGCTGCCTGCAATGAGGATCAGAGAGCTTTGTACAGCAACACTGACCATTGTGGTATCCTACAGAGCAGTTCTGGCCCTTTTGCTGGTTGCCATCAACAACTTCCCCCACAGACCTTTG